CTATCACGAGTTCGGGGACTAGCCAAGTGACTCCCGTAGTATTTGTACCTGAAATTATGGCCTAACCCTAACCTGGTGCACATACTACGTTCCGGTGTACGCCATCTTGGTTCACATACATCGGGCGTACCATTTTTTCAATATTCTATTTATTATGAATATTTTCAATTTACCAGTATTGGTCTTTGTAAAAACTATTACAGAGTATTTATAGAAATGCGAACGATATTACATATATATAACAGTAAATTAGCGCCGCAATACCGAGGGAACCCGTCAGCAGCTTACTCCAACTATTTGTTTATACCTTTATACTTATTTCACCGGTCAAATAATTTCCTCTTCTCTATATGCTTTTATGTTATTGCTGTTTATGAATTTTTTTATGACTCGGTACATCGGTACACGACATAGACGACGGCTCAACTCTCACTCCGTTGACCTAAATCAAGACAATTTGGCGTTTTAAGCCGACAAACTGTCAGTATATCCCTACCTATCAGACAAATATTTATACCGAAATTCCAGTTATGTCGAATTCAGTACCTCATAATTGCGACCGCTTTGACCTGGACTGCTTCAGTTCTCACATCGATCGGCTTCGTTTAAGCAATATTCAAAAATTAAACCCGGAAAAGCGATTGACTAGAGGCACGTGGTTGTTCATTTTGATAAAAATAATGATTTTGAGCATGCAGTAAGCTTTAGAAAACACTCTTAAAATGAGAATCCGAAATTTTGCATAGTAAAGTACATTCTCATAAAGAATTTTCAGGGGTCAATGGTCGGAGAAACATCCAGATCTGGATTGCTTCAATTCTCGCCTCAATTGGCATTGACTACCTCGTAATTAATTCCTCGACAAAAAATATCGAAGCACAAGTTTTAAAGCCTTACAGAATTAATGAAAACAGGGTTAAAATTGTCGCGAAACCTGAAGAAAGCATCGCACAGTCTAAAGTTCGGTTCTCCCGTGGTGTGTGAGCCAGGTTAGGCCATACTTTTTTTCCGATTTTCCTTATTTTAGTTTCAATTCGAGTTCGGGGAATGTTTGTGTTAGCCAAGTGAATATACCACCTGCCCATAGGTTTCAGTCCCCTTAGAGTCTTAGACAACAAAATTAGTTACCTCCATTTGACACACACACTTCTGCACCGCCCAAAGTTCTATTCTACTGCCTTCTTACTCATGTAAAATAAACGGAGGAGGATAAATCAAATGCCAAATATTCCTGGTATTCTCTAAAATTGCAAAGGTAATTTATCTATACCATACATTGTTTTGGCCCTCACAAGAGTATCAAATGAAGTAAAAATACTTGAACAATTACTGATCAAAAACAACAAACCTGGTCAAGATATATTGAGAACTGACTTCATAACAAAATTGAAATTGTAAAGGGACTCTATGGACTATGTATATCAAAATTTCTAAACCGCTAAAAACCAACAACTACGACATGTTACTGAAACAGAGATGATCTCCGCAACGCATTTGCGGTCCTTCAAGTCTTCTTATACCGGTTGAAGTATTTGTTTTAAGCCGGTGACACGCTTCTTATGACACGTGGTTTGATTTTTCGAGTGTAAAAAGTTGTGAGACTTTATATAATTCAACGTTAGAGGAGCTCCATACAACCACGAAGACGATAACGCAGAGATGGGCAAGAAACATTGTGCCCACTCAGACTGGGGGCCATGTAAGTGTGACGTAAAAAGTTACATTTTATGAGCAATATTTACAGTGTCACAACAGCAAAAGTGGAATTTCTTAACCCCAAAACTAAATTTAATCGCTATCTCACCAAATTCTTTGCGCTATTTTTGAGCTGAAACATCAAAATTCGGTTCTGGATTTGTTGTACCTGCATTTTGATTTGGCCCACGGTTTTGTTGAGTCAGTCATCAATATATCTTACCCAAGTTTCATTTTTTAATCAGTAATTGTTTAAGTATATTTACTTCATTTAATACATCTGTGAGAGCCAACAAAATATTTGGTATCGATAAATTCCATTTGCAATTTTAAAGTTTTTTAAGATTTTATGGACATCCTATATATGTCAGAAAAGTGTCAAAGATAATATGGCTCCATTTTTTAAACTGTTGATAAAATCCCTGACCAAGTAAACCGAATCCCTATTTTATTTTGAGTTTTCAAACATCAGAAAAATAGCCCCCTTGGTGCCTTGATCCTTTCATCGGAGCAAAAAGAGGTTTTATTAAAATAAGAAAACAAGTTTTTGAAATTAATTTTTTTATTAAGTTGTTAGAGACTTGTCCATCGTAAGTGGACATCGGTCAGTCTTTACGACACTCATACTCTACAAAGTAAACATAGTAGAGCCATGGACGCCATTGATCCTCACGTGTATAAGTGTAATCCTCTGTTTGTCCAGCCGTTGTCCGTTGTTGTTAGTAAATTATGTGCAGAAGTTACTAAAATTTGAAAGTAACGCAACTATCGTCTATACTCAAAAATAAGAGACATCCCCTCAAATTGAGACCTATTCGATAGCGCAAATTTTTTTTAACCTAGTCGATAGTAAGAAATCTCTCCAACACGTTTTAAATGATTATTTAATTATGCATGTTTAGCAGTTATTCTAAATAAAAAAGTGTCATTTATAAGTAAATGAAAATCGATTTTTATATTTTGTATGTATGAAAATCTCATAATTCTCAACTTTGTAATTTTGTTTTTGATAAATGAAAATAAAAGACATCCACACAAAGTAAGTGTTATTTTTCGGAAATTGAAATGAGATCCAGTCTTTTTTCCGGGGAAACACGGTATATTCGTTGGTTAGAGTAAAATCGGATCTGCGTAGAAATGGTGTTACTTGCAAACGATGGGAGTAATGATTAGTAATGCAAAGATGGGTTTAGCTCTTTGGCAAAGACAAGGTTTTCTTATTTTGTTTAATATTTTTTTTGAGGGGGGGGGCTTTTAAAGAATGTCCGTCGTTGTGTGATAATATCCCGAAATGTTTGCTACATGGCTTGCTGAAGGGTACTATTCGCAAAAATTGAAAATTTTTAGCTTTATTACGAAGAGACTCGCTTAATCTCTAAAAGCACAAAAAATCTAAAAAGATGGCGAATGGCCCAGTCGCAACGATGTTTTCGGGCGTGTCTGAATAATTATATGTGGCCAAGTTTGGGAGCGTTTTTCAAATAAATATTACCGTAATAGCGAAGAAAAATTGAAACAATTCCCATAGGCGCATTCCGAATTTACTAAATCGGCCAATATCTGGATAATCGGAAATATTTATTTATTGTCGGAAAAAAGATGTGTAGCCCTCCAATAAAAAGAGGTTATTTGATATGAAAAGGAACATGAGTATTAGTATATTAGCATTAATAGAATAGGTGCAAGCTATAGTTTATAGCGTACACGCAGAAATTAAACATCGATTGAAACAGAGTCGAAATTCATTTCCATCTAAGGACCGGCAAGATGGGCTAAACCCGAGAGTATGGAATCGTCACAAGTTAGAGAGCTCCAGATCAAGCCCTCATCGGCTCATTCAGGATTTCATAAATTTGGTAGAATCTGTCAAACTCAAAATATTTAGGTTGTTGAAAACGTTCTCGTTACATGACGGCCTATCTCGATTTTGTTGAAGATAAGACGTGTGGTCACCCGATAATAAATATAGCTCTTCAATAGGAGCATAAGTATTGGTATATCAGCGTTAAATTTTAATTTCGCCTACAGTTTCACAGACTTCAAAATTTCAGTTACTTGAAAACGTAAATAAATCGACTATTTTCATAATAAAGCGAATCGAATGTTGATATTGTGTGCTTGTTTTTATTTGGGATTATTCTATGAAAACAACGGCAAGATAAGTCGACAAGGAAGCTTGTCAGAAGTCAAAGCACGATGCCAGGTTGATGGGAACGTGATCGAATTTCCTTGTGAAAGATTTGATAACTCTACAACACCGGTTTTAAGCAAGTGCGCCATGACCCACAGAAACATCTTCAGGTGAGTCACAAAGCTATTAAAATCTGCCAGAGTTGTTGATAAATTAGTAAACTTTGATTGAAATGAATTATGCTGCTGCTTTTTGGCTGTGGGTGGCAATTCTCGATCTAATTATTTAATTCAATAAGTATCTATCTTTACATAAATAATTTTTGGTATTTCTTAGTTCTTCCATTGCATGAGAAATGGGCCACAAAATTTTGTGTGTAACAAAAGTGGGCGACGACAGAAAAAAGGCTAAGAACCACTGCTCTACAAGCTGAGCTGCGGACCCGGAGTCATAAAAGTTATATCCGATTTTTTTGACACTGGAGTGGCCTTACACTTTGAATACGACACATGGGTACGTATAAGTTTTGATTATAAGGGATTTTGTATCTTCAACGATTTTTAAGTTTAAACTAAAAATTATACCTTCGACTTGGGTAGTTTATAATTTGAATTCCAATTAAGAATTTGAAAATATGATTCCGTATCCAACTACTTTATCCTAGAAAAATATTGAACAGCAGAACATTTTCTATATAATAATATACAGCCACAAAAAGCATACAGTATTAGCCAATCTAATTCAACGCTAAGCAAAGTAGAATATTGATGATTAAAAAATTTTTTGAATTATTTTAATTAAACAACATTTAATGGTTATCATCACCATCGATATTTTTTCTCCTTACCCGATTCAAACTCATAAGTATTTCGAAATTTTGTTACTCCCGTAGTATGTGTACCAGGTTAGCGTGAGGGCATAATTTTATTTCAATTTTCCTTATTTTAGTTCTATTATAAATTCGGGGACTGTCTGTGTTGACCAAAGTGAATATAGGTTCCAGTCCCTTTACACAACTTGATGTAAAGTAGGCGAAAATATTAGTTACCTCCATATTGGTACACATACTTCTGTAGCGTCGAAAATTCATGTCTCTGGGAAATAGTTTAAAAGCTATTAATCATGTATAACATAACCTTCTGCGTAGAAACAAAAGTCGCAAATCAGCAACAACTTGGAAATATTGAGTGAATTTTTATTACAAATAAAATAGAGATAATAAAATTAAGAAATTCAAAAATATCACAATATGAGAAATTTAGTACACTTTCCGCTTTCCAAAAAAAGCATTCCCAATTCTGTAGCATTCCCCAATACAAATGTATTTCTTTCTTTTGCACATGTGATTATAGGCACATACGATTTTCATCGATATTCATTCGGATCCTCCAGCTCTGCTTGGAACATTTCTTTTTACTACGTCATGTCTATTACGTCATGGAATTGTGACGTCATGATCAAAATATGCTAGGGAATTGATCAGAAAACCCATTGAAAGCTAAGTAGAACATTCCTAATATGCTTTTTAACGAATTAGGTTCCTGTATTAGGTTCCTGGTTGTGCAAGCATTGCAAGTCCTCGGACAATTTTTTCGAGTTGATATCTTGTGACAACGATTTTTATTGCAGAATTTACCAGGCTGATCTCGGCATTTTGACCCTGAAAATATTATAAAACAAGGTCAACTGTTGCTGCCAAAAATTGACACTTTTTGACTGAATATAAACCATTCAACAATGAAAAAATTTCTTGTTATTATACATATGGTTGGAGAATTTTTTACTTCACTTTGCGATGCATCTTTATATAGTATATACTAATCGTCTTTTGACTCTGTCTGTAGCAAAATGTACCTCGGAATTCCATACTTTCAGGAATGAAAACAAAAACATATATAAATATTAGGTTTAATCAAGAATAATTTAATTGTATAGTGGTTCGGTTCGAGTCTCCCCCTAACGTAAATAGCTTTGGATAAGTAGAAACTCGCGGTGAGGTTTGGTTTTAGGAACTTGGGATTTGAAACTTGCGACGGCCGACGACCCCAACGTGTTGTTTGAATGATATTTTATTAGTATGGAGAAGTAAGAAGTTTCAATGTAAAAAATGCCAATGATCGCGGCAAATTATTTTCCCAGAGATGACGAGGTGAGCTAAACGATTTAGAATCCAAACTTATGGTCACGACACGACTCACGGACCTCATTCAAATTCCACTGTGATTATTGCTGTACCGATAAGATCCCCACATTTTTTTAATAAATAATATCATCAGCGGTTAATTGTCTAGACTAGAGTGGTGGTTCCCAATTTTTTATGGCCTGTGGCCCCTTTCCGAAGAGTTTTAGCACTCGAGTGTTTAATTATTCAAGTGATATTTATAGCATTATTTCGATTGGTAGATTTCAAATCCCATTATGTTCAAACAATTCATGCTCAACAAAATGTGACAAAACCATATCAAACAATGAAACTAAGAAGAACTAGGAGTTTTCTTGTAAAGGGAAAGGTAAAATTAGTTTTGCTCCTAGCATTGTGGCCCTCCACAAATGCCCTGTGGCCCTTCGGTGGGCCATGGAATCCCGGCCGGGAACCACTGGTCTATCTAGAATCTTGTTCAGAGTAAAATTGTAAGAATGACTCATAAAAAATTTCTCACCTGAGTTGCAGAAGCCGCATGTTCTTCTGCATTCATTTTCCATTTTCTGTTTTCGTTTCCAAGAACCATCACAGTCTCCTCGATTCGCCCTTGCATTGCACCTTGGTCCGATGTCAACGCATCCTCTGTTCCTCCTTCTACCTGGTTTCAGAGTCTTTTTTGTTGTTGGTTTCGTGATTGGTGTTGTTTTAGACGGTTCTATATTTAAAATAAAAAACAGTTGAATTGAACAGTGAAATTTGGTGGTTTACGGTTAGCATACCTTTGCAATGGCAAGAAACTGGATAATTTGTAATGGGCAAGAGATGAATAGCATTCGCAACTATGTTTTTAAGGCGCGCCACGAAGCAAACAGACTGTTTAATTCTGAAGTCTACTCTGGCAAAACAGTTGAGATTTTTGTATTTTACACTATTCGTTATAGAAATACTTTCACAACCGATGATTACCCTTTATTCCATAAAATATGTTTAGGCTACGTAATGGCAATAGCATGCGAGAATATTGCTGAGCTCCTTTCCCCCGACGGATCATTCAGATAACGGTACTGGAAATGATTTTAAATTAAAGATGTCGCGATTTACTGTGCCATTTTCCTGTCTATAGTTTGAATGTTTATGCTTTTTAAAAAGATATATTCAGCATACCAAGACAACCCGATTAAGTTATCTTCGTATAAATAAAAGGTCGGCTGTTTTTCGATTATAATTTCGAAAACAGATTCGCTCTCCAGGGATGCAGGTTTGTACCCTCTATAGTAGTCTAAAGGCATTTAAGCTATTATTCTCTCTCCTTCTCTCTGATTAAAGAAATATTTGAATTCTCTAGAATTTACATAGAATAGGATTTACATATTTATCCCGGGGGAGAGGAAAGCCGATGAAATGGCTCAACCATATAGCGAACCATGGCCTCTTGTCCGGTTACCATTCCATGTCGGGTATGGGATTAGTTAGCCAGTTATTAGTTTTCGAAAGCTCGGACTTGATGGTGGAGGAAGCCGTAACCGACCAGCAATTAAGTGAACCACCCTACGGCGGCGAGGAGTTCAGCAAATCCTGTCGCACGTAATTAATCCCGCATGGGATTCGAACCTGCGACCCCATGCAGGGTAATCAGAGGTGCGGTGGCGAGCGCATTCCAACGCTTAGCACGATGCGCCACATCGCGTCATTTTCATCAAATACGTATATAATGATTGAATGATTACCTTTTTTACAAAATCCACAAGTTGCCTGACATTCTTTCTGCATCACTATCTTTTTCGCACCAGGTCCAACGCACTCGGCGTTCGCCTTTCGATAAGCACATCTCGATCCTGTGTCTTTGCAAGTTGTTTCTGTATTTTCTAATTACAAAATCCAATTTAAACTCAAAGTTGTGGTATTTTTCTTATTTCAATAAAAATAGGGGGGCGATTCATTACGACATGGCCCAAATAAATACCAAAGCAAAAAGCGAAGAGTAGCAGCAGAGTCATCAGTTAATATATATGTGATACTTCTGACCAGTCATGCCTGAATGATTTTTACTTTTGGCGGAAACGAAATCGTACTACTTTGGGTGCTCCCGTATAGTATATATGTGAACTAGAGATGTACCGATACCACTTTTGTCGCCGATACCGATCCGATACCAGCTAAAATGCCGATACCGATACGCCGATATTACAAAAAGGCCGATATTACCGATATTCCGATACCGATGCTTTGTAATGGTACTTTGTTTGGTCTTTGAGCGTTGTTCATAGTACACATTATTTCAGATCGAAAAAAAGATATATCACATAATATGCAATTAATTTTTGCTATCCTGATTAAGATACATTGTACAGTAACGCTAGTAATCTCGGTGTTCAATTAGAAAACTCATAAGCCGGGATGTTCAATTTGAATTTAATGTTAATATCGCGACCTTCGAATATCGTTATTCGTGTTTAAAAGAATATCGAATATCACTCACACATTGTAGCGCCGCCGTCCTACGTTCAAATTAAAAGCATTTTACAAATATTTTATTTCGTGGCTAATCGCAATCGTCAACGCAATAAGTCAAAGCCAACATGAAAGAATATCAATAAGCACCGACAAAAAAAAGGCCTACCTATAACCGTCGAGGATGTTTTTTTACTTGACTATTTTACAATTGCTATCATATATTTTGAGACAGTCTAGGGCTAGGCGGTCATGTCCATATATACTTATAAAGAAATTGTGTAGTTAAAATTAAAATTAATACCTGCGTAGAGGGATAATTGTGTCGGAATTTAGTTTATCGATGTCGACGAACTAAATGACACTCGTACTTAACCAAATTAGTTGAGCTAGTTTGGCTGATAAATAGCTAAAAACACGTGAATCCTATTCTCTCGCGGGGGTGGGACATGTATGGCTCATAGCTCACGATCTCTCCAGACAAAAAATAAATTAAAAAGTAGTATTCCAACTTATCTTTTAAAACATTCTGGACCATATCAAAAAGGTAAATATATCGGAAATATCGGCCTTAATTTAACCGATACCGATACATGGCCGATACCGAAAAAATGGCCGATATTGCCGATACCGATATCCGATACCGATACATCGGTACATCTCTAATGTGAACCGGACACCTGAACATAGTATGTGTACCAGGTTAGGGTTAGGCCATAATTGTATTCTAATTTTCCCTTATTTTAGTTCTATTACGAGTTCGGGACTAGCCAAGTGACTCTGTAGTAGTTGTACCTGAAATTATGGCCTCACCGTAACCTGGTACACATACTTCGTTCCGGTGTCCTCCATCTTGGTTCGCATACTATGGAAGTACCTTAATTTGACGTGATCCAAAAACATAAATATTGGCGAAAAAATTTTCTGCTAGTGTTTGAGAAGACAGGCCACATTGAAAGGCCAGACTTGTTGGTGGACGTTGGTCCTGAACGTGTTGTCGTGGGATGTTCAACATTTCGGGTTCAAACCTCCACTTCATTACGTCACACAGAATGTACTGAATTAACCAAGCTTGTGCGAACCAGAAATACACCGATCGCCTCGGTGGAAACGAAGCGTTCTTAGATTTTGTTTTGTAGCATAAAAATTTACATTGTCCTATTTTTTTCCAATAAGGATTCTTAATTACTCTTGGTAATGACATGCTTCACATGCTACTCCTACCGCTTCCAGGTTGAATAACATAGGCCAGGGATGGCGAACCTTTTCCAATGAATGGGTCAAAAATAATATTTTTATCGCGGAACAGAAGGGAGTGGGTCACAGATATTTAATCAATGTTTGTATCTATGAGAAACTTCTGAAACAAATCTTATAAGCTGCTTTCACTTATGCATCACTTTAATCGGGGACTTTTTATTTCTCTCGATTTTATGAAATCAGAGTACGAAAACACGCATATGAATCGTCAAAAACGCTTAGGACGATGCGGCAAATTCCTTTCCGGATCCAAAGAGTTTGGAGGGAATTCCACTCTGATAGTTTTATATTTTTAGATCAGCTTTCAACCACATTAAGGCACTTTCAGATTTCTCTGTTTTTATTTCAAGTCTGGAATATTTTGATTTCTCAACGGCATTGTAGGCGAGAAACTAATAAAATGCAAAGTAGCAATTGCATTGTTATGTCAGAGCCAATAGCTGAATAACGAACGGTGCATACATGCGCCCAAGATTAGAGGTTTAGGAAATTACCACACCGGCCCGGAAATTAACAACTTAAATATGAGCGATCGCAGTCATGACCAACTGACGGTACATTATAATAGTTTAGTTTTTGTTAGATTAATTTAAGACCGGTTTTATCACTTCTTATCAGTGATATGTTAGCATTTTTATTTTATTAGTGCCTTGGCGAGTCAAGACTAAAACGCGGTGGGTCACTTTGTGACCCGCGGGTCAGTGGTTCGCCATCCCTGACATAGGCAATGCTATAAATATAAAGTCGTGTGTCGTGAGATATATACGTTTGTTATGTAGAAAAAGCCCAAAAGCGTGATAACCTGTCCGGAGCTTAATTAGGGGGTAGCGTTTTATAAAAATATCTAACACGAGAATATCGGTCAGAGACCGAAGTCTTATCGATTCAAAGTTAGGGAATCCCCAAAACAGCGCTCTTACTCCATAGTGACACCATGTGTCCCATCACTAATTAATTAATAACTCGCTAATTATACGACATAATTCATCCAAAATCAATAGGCTTCTGGTCCGACATATGATGAATGCACATGCAAAATGTGGAGCAGATTCGATCTTGCTTTCGTGAGATATCGCGTGCATCTAACAGACAGACAGACAAACAGACAAATACCTATCAACATACACACCGATTAAAATATTAAATATAAGTAATAAAACATTGTTACCTTTTTTACAAATCCCGCACGTAGCTTTGCAGTCTAATCCCATCAATACTTTCTTAGGAAGAGGACCTTCGCATTCGCCTTTCGTTTTTCGTTCTACACAATTCGTGGCAACATCTTTGCATGTCTCTGCTGTAAAAATATAACAAGAAGATCGTTTATACAGACTATGAGAAGTGATTCGAACCCACTCCTGGAATGTCGTAGTGATCAGCGGTAACCACCGTTCTTGTTACTTATCGATTATAATCGGTAAGTATGTTGATAGGTATTTGTCTGTCTGTCTGTGTGTATGTCTGTTAAATGCACGCGATATCTCACGAAAGCGAGATTGAATCTGCTCCAGATTTTGCATGTGCATTCGTCGTATCTCGGATCAGATTTTGGGCAAATTATGTCGTATAATTAGCGAGTTATCAATTAATTAGTGATGGGACACAAGGTGTTTTGGGGGATCCCCTAACTTTCGATCGATAAGTCTTCGGTCTCTGACCGATATTCTCGTTTTAGACGTTAGACGACCGCAGCAATAGGTATTGTGCACTACCACTAACGACAGGCGTAATATTTGGCATTTCAAATGTTATGTATCAAATTGGTGTGTATTGGTAAGTATGTATGTTTATTTGCCTTAAATAAATTGAACACTATCCGCATAATAATTGCATAGTATTGACTGGAATAGATGTTTAAGATCTTACTGGCCCAAGACACAGTTGTGCGACATGTGCCATTCACAAGTATATTCATGTGAAGCATTTCGTGTTAATATAGTTCGCTTAGTGACATTCATTAGGCGTTAGTGCATATTAGGACGTTTAAAATGTTCTTATAATGTTATCTTATGTTACGTTTTAGCTACAAATCTGCATGTTTTTTTGAAATGAGAGAACCTGTTGTTAGTACTTTGACACTCTCCAATTGTCAACGTGTGCTTTGGTAAGAAAGCGAATTTGCGCATTTGAGTGATTCGCTGATATTCACCATCTATGTCTACCCTAACTCAAAATGGTGGGGCCAAGGGATAAGTGTAGCAAACAGGGATAAGAGAAATGTGTTTAAAAGGACACGTGTGTGACACCGCCAGCGAATGCGCATCCAAGTAGTGTTGACTTAGCCCAGATGTTTCAATAAAGATCAGCCCTGAAGATTGAGTAGTGCCTTTATCTTGATTGAGTGCAGATACCAAAATATAATCAATGCCCACATTCACCTTTTTTACAAATTCCACATGTAGCTTTGCAGTCTATTCCCATCAATACTTTCTTAGGAAGAGGACCTTCGCATTCGCCTTTCGTTTTCCGTTCTGCGCAATTCGCGGCATCGTCTTTGCATGTCTCTACTGTTAAAAGAAAACGATAAAAAAACGTTGCAAACTGAATAAATACAGTATTTTGGTCATAAAAGATAGAAGTGTAATAATATGAATTAAAAATTTACCCTGTTGTGCTTCAATCCTCACAAAACACGATTGATACATACTTCCCAATCTTGGGCCATCAAAGACTGCACCACTTTCTCTATATCTCAAAGCTTATTATCTTGTTCAGCACTGGTACCCTCGCCTTTTGGACGCTCCGGAAGTATTCGTACCAAGATGACGCTTAACCTGAACAATCCTAACCTGGTACACATACTATGTTCAGGTTGTGCGCCATTTTGTTACGAATACTACGGGAGCGCCGCCTTTTGCACCACTGACTACTTTGTGAGTCTGTGTGAGAGGTGCACTTTCAAATCAAAGAGGAGGTGACTATGATTGAAAGCCTATCTGAACTACTCAACGCAGGATGGTTCGGGTAAGCGCTGGTCGGTTGCGGTTAGCCAATAATAAAGTCTTGTCACTTTTCGTCTCTCACAAAATAATAAATACAAATGGAATCCTATTTAATCTAAGGTCTGTTTATGTAGTCAAGTTATGTCGGAGCGTCAGATTTTTGAAGGACAGCAACGATGAAGTTACAATTAACACAGAGCATCCGTTAATTTTAAAGCCTTAAAAATGAGCGAAATAAAATGATCGATGTGCATTCTAACCTTTTTTACAAATCCCACACGTAGCTTTGCAGTCTATTCCCATCAATACTTTCTTAGGAAGAGGACCTTCGCATTCGCCTTTTGTTTTCCGTTCTGCGCAGTTAGTGGCATCGTCTTTGCATGTTTCAGCTAGAAAAAATAATGATAGATACAATTTAAAACATTGTCATTACCAACTAACTATATACAAATTGTATAGCGAATCACCGCGCTATGAGCGTGAGAGATTGGGAAAAAACGCGCTAGATGCCCATAACTACGACTTCCCCTGAGGACTTGAAAATAATAAATCATCAACATTCAGCGCACCGCTCATAAGATTTTTATTCCGGGGAGGGGAAGTCGATAAGACGACACATGGCGAGCCACGGCTTCTCATTTGATTAGCAGTCCATGTCAGGTATGGAAATAGGTACTGAATAAAATTTTAAATTAAGAGAAAAACATTATCAGGCAATACAGGAGAGTTGCAGGCAAATTAGATTGATACCCTCGACTACATATCTTGTAAAATTTTAAGTAACGCTGATAATCCGTATATACCGTATCCGTATAAATGCTTGGTTGCAACAACTGTTCGCTTCATGACCATATCTGTGCCTGGAACGTTTATTTACAAATGTTGTTCTTTCATTTGTTTTTATTACAAGACATAGTGAGCGCTTTGCAAAATAGTATTTTGTGATGAACTTTAGAAAATATATCATTCAAATGTGACGGAGAAAAAAACAATTCAAACTATTCTACTTTAGTAAAATTGCACACACTAAACCACGTTATTTTATTTTCAGTTCCACAGTAATTAGCGCATCATGTTAAGTCTAACGGTAAATATTTTTAGATATTACGTACAGATGAAATTGTATTTGTTACAGTTTTCAAACGAAATACAATAGAAATACCACATGTAATGCTAAAAAATGGAGATCGATATAAATCCGAACCTTTCTTGCAAATTCCACATGTGGCTTTGCAGTCTATCCCCATCAGAACTTTCTTAGGAAGAGGTCCTTCGCATTCGCCTTTTGTTTTCCGTTCTTCGCAATTCGTGGCATCGTCTTTACATGTTTCTACTACAAAAGAATAAACGGGCGTGTTTCAAAACATTACCATGTTTTACCAGGGGCATATCCAAGGGGTGGTCTTGTGGTCGGAACTCCCGGGCCGATGGAACACGTTTAAGTAAGAAAGGTTGGTGAAATAACTAGCTGGGAGCAAACAAAGTTGAAGCCTCGATGAAAAAATTGTAAAGAATAGATCATAAACACTTCGCACAAAGAATAGGATTTTCGTACGTCTTCCCACCAGGAGAGAAGAGTTGATGAGATAACGCAATTATATGGCAAACCACAGCCTCTCGTTTGATTACCAGTCCATGACGAATATGGGAATAGTTAGCCATACCCAAACAATTAAACCAGTGGTTTCCAAACTGCGGCCTGCGGGCCAAATACGTCTCGCGTAACAATTTGATATGGCCCGCCGAACTTGAGTGTAATATAACAACACTATATGTTTTTACTTTTTTGCGTTCTAAATACGGCCAATTGTTACGTTATTATCACAGTTTAAGCACGTGTATATTCGTAAAATCGAATTATACCATTATTTTAACTATACGCATCGGTACCGATATCGGGCTCTTTCCGGTGCTAACCTATCACGGTCCGCGAATATCCTTCTGCTTCTAATTTTGGCCCCCGGTCGATCAACTTTGGAAGTCACTGAACTAAACTTAACTTAAATAAGTCTTTAAATTTAAAGAGAATATACCATACCATACATTGTTTCGGCCTTCACAGATGTTGTAAATGAAGTAAAAATACTTGCACAATTATTGATTAAAAACAACAAACCTGGTTAAGATATATCGGGAACTGACTTCATAACAAAATTAAAATTGTAAAGGAATTTTATGGACTGTATATCTTAGACTGGTCAAACTGAAATTATAAACTAGATAAAAGGTCTAACCTTTTTTACAAATTCCGCAAGTAGCTTTGCAGTCTATTCCCATCAATACTTTCTTAGGAAGAGGACCTTCGCATTCACCTTTCGTTTTTCGTTCTGCACAATTCTTTGCGTCGTCCTCACAACTTTGCGGGAGATCTTTCGTCTTCTGACCCGATGTTCCATTACCGGAACTCGTTGAATTTGTCGCAGCTGTAAGTATATATCAACGAAATTTGCACAATCTTACTCCGAATTAGAATAGAAACTTACTTCGAATAAGTATGTTTTCAGTGAGCATACATTAGGAAAATCATATTTTGTGAAGAAATTATTTTTAAATAGTTTCGATTTTTTTTAAATATTAAAATCGTAACTGAATGCTATACAATTATAACAAGAGGGAAAGGTGTGAATGGCATTTCAATAAATTCATTACTACGAATAGAATAGAAAATTGTAAAAGTAGTGGAAATTACCAGGACAATTATACAATTTGTTGATGAGATCCACGTCTCCTCCAGTGAAATAATCTTTCTAAAAATAAGTAAAAAAGTACAGAAATTATAAAATTGATTGGAGTAGCACTGTGATTCTATGGACCGCGGGCCACTAGTACTCCCAAAGTATGTGAACCAAGATGGCGGACACCGGAACGTAGTATGTGTACCAGGTTAGGGTTAGGCCATAATTTCAGGTTAAAATACTACGGGAGTCACTTGGCCAGTCTCCGAACTCGTAATAGAACTAAAATATGGAAAATTAGAATAAAAATACGACCTAACCTGGTACACGTACTACGTTCCGGTGCCCGCCATCTTGGTACACATACTTCGGGAGTACCGGCCCACTCGGGTTCGCAAACTGCTTAACGGTTATTTTGTACACGTGGATCATTTTATTAAATAGCTGTTGTTGAGGTGTATATTGTTGTTAGAAAAAAAGTCCCCTATTCCGCTAATAGAACAATCAATTGCATATCCCTAGTATTTATAGAACAGCTAGGTCGAGAAGTCGATAAAACACTATTATGTTTTAGATACAAAGTGGACTCATGTATCGTTTTGTTATTATGTTGTTCTCTTTGGTGCTCTGCTCTGCAGGATCAATTATCCACCTACCCAACCATTAGTCAAACGACTTGAATAGGTCAGACGGAGCTATTGCGTCTCAGAATAACGTCTGTAATGGTTTTTGGTAAATTACAATCATAACTCACATTGTATTTGTCATAGAAGTTCCCATTTGCTTGTATAATAGTCAACCATCTGTTTTGGTCTTTACTGAACGCAAACTGATCGAAATGCATCAAAGATTGGTAGTCATATATAGAATTTATGTTGTCAATATTGTCTGTTGTCTGCTTTTGGAAACTTCCGTCGAATCCTACGAAATGGATTAAAAAAGTGGAAATTAAAGTGAAATTCGAATTCGGTGAGTTGAAAAATACGAAGCTTTTGCGTATCATGGGAGACGGTTGCGCGTTCGGTCATATCTCTAGTACTCGAAAGCTAGAAAGACAAAACTTTTCGGAGTTTTTGAATGGGCACGAATAGCACTATAATCGCTATCGCGCCAATATTTTTTTGAACCGTTTTGTTCATAATTGTATTTGTACGATAAAAGAGATGCCAAGGAGACAATTTTTTTGTAACGACACAATGTTTGCATACAAGCTTGCTTTCATAAGCCCTGGAGCCCTCAATAAAAACGCTAATTTTTGTCAGGGTGCCAGCTGGAATAGAAATAATTTGAACACCGAAATTCATTACAAATTTTACTGATAAATAACAAGAGAGCTATGCTCAAATATATGGACACGTAGCGCCACCCAGTGGCAATAATTTTGATGACGTCATAGCGAGAAAAAAGTAAGAGCCTTCTGGAGAAAAATTTTATCTTTAACCACTGAAAATAACAAAGCAGGTCCAGTATTCGAAGGTCCAGTATTCGAAGAGAAAAGCGATTTTTCAAAAATGGAGACGGAGACAAATAACAATAACAACAAAACTTTGAAACGATCGTTATGGCCTCTAAACGTGTCCAACAAGTCAATGAAAATGTTAACTCACCAGATTTGATGTTCTGTCTCAGTATGTAGATATATTTATCTCTGTCTTGTCTCGACTGTTTGTGCCAGAACCCAAGCGCATGCATGATTTGGTGCATCACTGTGCCGACGTACTCGCAACCTGACGAAATTGAGATCTGAATGATAGAAATATTATATTGAAAGAACGTTTCGAAGAGAGAGATAAAAATTCTGACACTAGCTGTGCAAAAACCAATCCAATCATAAATCTCGACTCCACTTTGAATTCGAACATTCATAAAAGCCCGTTCGCTTTGATTCGCATAGAATAGGATTTGTTCTCGGAAGTGCTACAGTAGCCGAAGAACGATATAGATTGAGCTTCTGAAATTGGCTGTAAGTATTTCGATCTTTCTACAAAGACCCCGCCATCGCTCAAAATAAGAAAACTATTAATTATCGTGTTAATATTAGGAATGCATTTTGGGCTGTAAATTCGAATTTTAAATTAATCCCAACATGTTTATTCCAGAGGAAAGGAAAGATGGCCGCATAACTATGCCTATGCACCTCACGTCAGTACGAATGTACGCACCGAGACTTCACAATGATTTAGTGACTAATATAAACCAAAAATTTCGCCGCTGCGTACTTTTAGCGCACATTCGACGGCGCTCCAGAAGTGTGTGTACCAATATGGAGGTAACTAATTTTGTTCGCCTATTTTACATCAAGTTGTGTAAAGAGACTGAAACCTATGAGCAGGGGTATGTATATTCACTTGGCTAACACAGACAGTCCCTGAACTTGAAATAGAACTAAAATAAGAAAAATCGGAATACAATTATGACCTAACCCTAACCTTGTACATTCGACTACATCATTTATAATACCTCCTGACTTCCTCCGTTTCTTCCCACATAAGACCAGCAGCCTTTAGCATCCGTGAAATTGAGAAAATCTTTTTCAAAAGTTCTTGAGATCAATCGAACGCACGTGTGAGTGTTGAACGCTTCAATCGCTCGTAATATCGCACGGAAAGCTGCTCCGCCTGTAGGTGTTGATAAAGTGGAAAACAAGTAAGAAAAAAAGTTTTGAAATTAAGGCATGCAAGAAATTATTTGTTAAAATTACAATTTTGTTATGGATCTCAATTAATATGCCTAAGGTCCTACCTCAGGTCCTTTATAAACAAGCACCAAGTTTCCATTACAACACTACTTTATTGTATGAGTCAAGCATCAATAATTTAAGACACCATATATAGCAGTAGCAAACTAAGCAGAAAGTCATCTATTCTAACGCAAACATGTATGTCCGCAAACATGAGTGTCCGCACACCGAATTTGCCGCCATGGTTTTGCGTTTGTTTGTATATTAAACCACTTATCACCTTTTCCGCAATGCCCAATCTAGCAATCAGTGTAGTTTTTCATGGCTTGGTTTTTCTTAAAGCTTTCATGGCTTCGTGAGTCTGACTATCGTCGCAAATTTATTACATTCCACTCCCCACATTATCTTTGCATGAGGTTGTAGGTATTGGTCATTATCAACGTAATTGTTGAAAGAGAGTACAACAGCCCGAAAGTTTATTACTATCGTGTGTTTTGCTTTTTAAGTTTGGCCCAAGCCTCATTTAATTGGGCTTGTGTTTTTGTGTGCGTGCTGGTGGGCAGGCACATGAGATACTTCATGTTTTAAACTTTTTGTAGGTTTTGCTTGCCCTCCAGAATTCTCCATTTTAAATTTAGGTTTGTTATGGAGTTTTCGAAATAAACTATCTATCTATCTATCTATGTGCACAGATAGAACACGGATGGTTACAGCCTCGAATATACCGGTACAAGGTCAATAACGTTACCTAACAATACCTATCTCAACCCTGTACGATGCTTTAATTTTTTCCACCCACGACCTAATTAGTAGGACCGGTAAATGGCTATAAGCTATGCGAGAATTTTTTTGTTGAAATTACCATTTTGCCGCGGATCACAATTAGTATGACTAGTTCAACTGGTATTTTCTGATATTTTATACGTATCCTAACCCTGTACGATGCTTCAATTTCCTTTACCCACGAGTAATGTCCTTTAAATTAGTAGTCCCGGCAAATGGCTATAGCGAGAATTTTTAAATTTATACCTAAATTTTTGCAACAAACTAAACACTAACAAATAACTCTCAAAGCTACGCAATACTTGAAAATTCGTCTAAGCGGAAAGGCGTCTGTCTGAAAGCTTGCTCGAATTGTTATTGTTACATCACCATTCGCTTTTTGGGCACTTTTACGGAAATAAACAAAGAAGTCGATGCTCATGTAAAAAAAATAACAGCGGTTCTCAGACGGCGAAGAGCGCGTCCCACAAGAGAGTCGTAGCTAATTTTTTTTTTTTTTGGGGGGGGGGGGGGGGCGCATAAAGCTGTTGCGACAAATTCTGCTTGTTTTGAAAGTTAATTTATTTCATTATTTACGTTCCATTTACACATTTTCAACGCCTTACTATCTGTCATTTACAGCTTGTTGTTAGCTTGTTAATTTTAAGGTGGGGCGCGAGACTTGACAAATTCAGAAAAGGGGGTTAAAAAGTTTGAAAATCACTGATCTGGAAAAAATCATCACACTTACTTAATGAGTAGTCGAACACGTAAGGCACAAGAAAATATTTTCCGCTCTTTGTTGTGTTCCATTTCTGAAGTTGGAAAGCCTTGTCCACCAGAGTATGATTCTTTGCCCCACGAGCGACATTCAATCGGTCTAAGATGTTGATTAAAATCTTCGGAGTTAATTTGATATCGCCTTCGAATTTATCTGATAATGAAAAACGGTTCGAGATGAAGATTTATATTCTGAGAAATAAGAAAGGATAGACGTTGTTGGCTAGAGACAGTTATGTTGAAAAAAATAATGTTAATAACGATTTTATTCCATTTATCACGTTCTGTTTGACTTCTTCAAGGGTACCGCCGCTCGATAACCAGTAATGGTTTTCGGCGTCTCCTTTCACCCTGAGATGAGATTTTTTATATTTCCTTTAATTTGTGTTGGTATAGTTCGTATTTCTAGTACGATGAAGAAATAAATTACTAAATACTGACTGGAATCATTTTTTTGTTGTTGTTTTGGTTTCCTAAAGCAGTGGTTCCCAACCGCCGGTCCGCGGACCAGTGCTGGTCCGCGAAGCTTTTTTGCCGGTCCGCGAGAAATTTCGTTGTTTTGTTGTTTTTATGCCGTCTCATTCGCTTTACCGTAGACAAAGTTGCGTTGGCTCATTACGCAATTCTCTTCCGCCGTCATATTGCAACGTCTTTCGGGACATGTTGGCGCCGTCTTACGCGACATCTTGGCGACGATCATTTACACTTTCCGCTTTTCCGGCTCCGATTCATCGTGAATGCGCTCCACCAAATCTCGCAAAATTAAGAAGCCTAAAAATCGGCACGCGTGCTTTTTCTGTTCTGCGTGTTCCTGATTAATATGACCATCCATATAAAACGTAATGCATATCTCCTCGTTTAAACCAGAAAACCGTCAAGAACAGTATAATATTCCAGTGAGATATGACCTTGTTGCCACCCCACAGGTGGTCACGAGACGCGCAAAAAAGCATGGGCCGCAGAGATCTTTTCCAGACACAGTAGGATTTTGAGCCTGATGCCAAGTTATCGACGACTTTGTCATTGTAATGCAAATTCATTTCGTTGGAGGCGTCGATCAACTGAAGAGGGATTAAGATGAACTTAATGAAAAAAAAGGCTTGATTAAAATGGTGATTCTACTTTGCAGTCCAGATTAAAAGAGAATTACCTATCACAATTTTAGATATCTCTTGATAACGAATACCCATCGCCAAGTAATCGAGCAATCAAACTGTTGTCCGTCTTCTCAGCCAGTTACTGCGTTATGCGAAAAAACATTTTCATCACTAGATCCAATTAAAACGAAGCAAAGAAATCGGCTGCACACGGCTGCAGAGCTACGTGTAGCAAAAACTTCTTTGAGGCCTCGTTTGCAATCTTATATTGGAAACGAAACAGCAGCAAAATTCTCACAGGAGTTAATTGTGCATGTTTTTAATGTGAGATATTTTATGCGTGCCTTTCTTACGCATAATGGGTACCCAGCACTGCATTTTATTACACAAATATATGGTATTATTATATGTTTCACCCATTTTAAATATGTGGTCGGCACATTATTTGATAGTTTTTCTCCGTGTGAAATGTTTTAAATTGTGCTTTTTTGTCTAGAAGCATATTGAGTGCCCGACATTGCATTATATTACGCAAATATATGTTATTCTTTTCTGTTCCGGCCATTTCAACTTTTTATCGGTCCGCGAGTACATTCAATCTAAATTTACCGGTCCGCCAGGGTAGAAAGGTTGGGAACCGCGGTCCTAAAGTATTGTCCCGCGCAACCGATTAAAAGCGAATACCAATGAATCATTCCTAATCTGAGAAATGATAAAGGGTAGTTATTTGCTGGCCTGTGTTTAAAACAATGTTCATTAGTATTTTTGTTTCGAATTGCTCAATGCAACGTCCATGAAACGGCACTTATGTATTTATTAGTGCTTCGCAGTAATTACAGATTGACCCACCCAGGTCAATAATGTCAGGTGAAGGGCTAATAAATTCGATTAAGTAAAATTACAATTTAAAACACTGTCAAATAATTGCCGTATATGCGTGTGAGTGTTTAAATTTTGGCGTTTTTTCCGTTTGTTACATCCCCCCCCCCATAAATGCTGTAAATTTCCAGGATTAGATTGGGGGGGGGGGGGGGTTAGCGGGAAATATTCGAATAATACACTAATACAACTATGAAAGATAACATAATATATATGATAGTTTTGAGTTAATAAAGCGATTTTCTTGGAACAGTTGCCTCATTCGCCAATGTTCGTCATTTGAATTGTCATAATCCTCACTCATTAAGGCTCGTTTCTTTTGCGATTCCTCATAAATATATCTATTAGAAATCTAAACGTCACATAAAAGCCTATTAATCTTTGTATCGCATTCTTTAGGCTACAAACTTAATGTTTTTCTTTATCAAAAAATCGTTGAAAATTCTTCGAGAAATTTAAAGTTACTTCAGTATGAAATGATGTGCATTTTGATTCAGTACTCAATGCAACTTTAGTTCCTGACACCTCAGCTGTTTTACCAAATCGGGGAGTCGATAAAGCGGTCAATTGGCTTGTGCATATTGTGAGTTACTTTTTTTTTTATATATATTTTGTTAGGAACGATATCCAATTTAGTGGCTTTTAATTTAATTTTAATTTAATAACCAACGTTCCACAAAATCTTCTGACCTTCGAAATCATATCAGCTTTAGAAATATAAGTAGCCACTAGCTTCGTTCGAAAATACTTCATAAAAAAATAAACAACCAATACAACATTACATAAACATATATAGTAAAAATTCGCAACTGCTAAGAAGCGAACGGACATTTAGTGGTGTATGTTTTACAATATGGATGATAGCAACTACTCGCTCTCCTTGAATATGCAATATATGAACAGCATCCACACTGCATATAACATTGAATAGTCACAATGTTTTTACTCACCCAATTTGAACACGCAGTTACAAGTCGGGCATCCAAACTGATCAAGTTGGTACGAAACACATGCAGGGACACATTTATTAACATCAGTTCCATTGCAACGAAGATTTCCAACGATATCTGAAGACGCTGAGATCAGAGCTAGAGTACCTGGAGGTGGAGAATTTTGTGTTTAATAATCTTGCGAAAAAAATTGGGAAAATCCAACTCTTTATATTATCGAAACTCAAAATTAGTATTCTCTCGATGACTGGTTTTTTATTCAAAATATTCAACTACCTACCTTTCAAAACTACTGTTAGCAAATTTTAGCCTATAGTCTAACTGAAGTATTTGCGGTCAAATTTTGAATTAGTGCAACCAAACTCAATAAACTCCTCGGAAGACGAAATGACCAATGAATTATTTGATTTTTGCCTAAATTTTGGAAACACGGTTAAAAACTTACAAATAGCTAGCAAAAGCATGGAAAACGAGCCAATACCTTAAAACATTTATTCATTAATATTGACGAAATATAACAGGGATGATTTTGAATTCAAACCCAAAAAGTAGTGACTCGACTTGACTCGGTTTTTATGGTATTTCCACCGGTTCGGATGTGCTGTGATTTGACTTGACGGATAAGATTTTGGGTTTCTAACTCTTACAAGAACGTAATATTAATGGTACTCCCGAAGTATGTGAGCCAAGATGGCGGGCACAGGAACGTAGTATGTGTACCAGGTTAGGCCATAATTTCAGGTACAAATATTACGACAGTCACTTGGCTAGTCCCCGAACTCGTAGTAGAACTAAAATAAGGAAAATTGGAATAGAATTATGGCCTGACCTTAACCTGGTACACATACTATGTTCCAGTGTCCGCCATCTTGGTTTACATACTTCAGGAGTACCATATTAAGTATATTAAATTCTGATTTACATACGTTATTGTTTTTAAAAGTAAATAGTCATCCAAAAATCACTCACCTGTCGTTAAAAATACAGCAAATAATATGGCAATTGAAAGCATTCTCGTAAATCCAGACATTCTGTTTGATTTGTTGTCGTTGGTAGCGCTACTTTGTGACTTTTTGATTGATATATCCGGATCGTAAAAACACAAACGTCCACAAATCATAAGGCTTCTTTAGAGTAGTACTTAACAACCCTCTATCGTTGCATTGTAAATCTTATACTGCTGTAAATACGTTTTTTTGACTTTGGACTCAAAATGGCGGACACTCACTAAAACCTAAATTTCGAACAGTATTTTCTGCAATATTAGCGAAAGCGAAATTTCAAACAGTACTACGTTCCACCAAGCATAAAAATTTTTTTTTAATAAATAAATCTGATTTATAGTTGTCCAAATTTTTTCGTTTTTTCTTTCCTAAATCGAAAAAATAAAAAAAGTGAAATCTTTCCCAGCAATTAAATTTTTATCTGTAGGCCTGCAGATTAACCTAAAGATTATCCCTATCCTTTGGGATATTGTGACGTAATAAAAACACTAAACAAAATAATCCTCTCTCGCAACATTTATAAAACCTTATAAAAACAACATCATCCGTGGTATTATATTCATATTTAAATATTATCTAAAATAAATCGGCTCGTCTCTATAAAACTCTTACGTCTATTAGATTTAAAGACTCAATAGAAATACACGCACGAGCCGTATAGTCGAGGCCATTTGCTTAATTATACTTTTATTGTCCAGACTAGTGATTACTGAACTCGTAATTTTAGAGTATCGTTAAATAAATCCATGCGAAAATTCCCCCCGATATCGGGATGTGTATAATTGACAAGATCCATTTAAAATCACTTAAGATTTGTTCCGGAATGAATGATTACAGGGAAATTCGATTAGTATACACAGTTGGTGAATTCAAATTGCAAAAGTTATTACAAAGGCTACTTAACCCTGAATAGGTCACATACCGGTACTAACACAGCACTCGATACAACCCATCTCTTTCGCCCGATGCTGGATTTGTGTAATTTACTAGAGACATTTGAAATCATTTGAGATTGGTTTTGGAATAAATAAATATGTTTTTCATTGTCATTAATTGTGACGCAAAACTTGCGCCGAATCTGGAAAAAGCGTGTTGAAGAGCAATATTTTGCGCTTGATCGGCAATACACGTCTATTATAGATGGCTTAAACACAAAACCTGCTGTCTATCTGAATGATAGCTCAATAGTCCTATACCAGGGGTCGGCAAACTTTTGTCGCTCGCGGGCCAAAATTACAGGTTGCAAGTCTTGGCGGACCGCACATATTATAGAAAGTTAAACGGCCGAACGGATGGCCGATAAATCACAATTTTTTCACACAGATCAGAAGTTGACATTTTAAATTTTGAGCGCGCAATAACTGCGACTGCGTTTTGTAGTAATTTGTCTAATTATAATTAAATAATGGGCACATTAAACGAGTAATTGTGAATTACATTCCGGCCCGCGAGACGTAAGTTGCCGACCCCTGCCCTATACGAAAAAGTCATCTGGGTCGTAGGTTCTCAAAGTGCTTCATACGGAGCCCAAGAGCCTCCCGTCACGTAAACCTGGAAGCTCAGCGAGTGGCTGATTTTGTAACTGACCAAAGAAATAACAACGGCATTAATAAAACTTGACAACGGTAACGTCGAAATGTGGCGCAACAATTCAAATACGACATTATCTATAAGTTCCAGTGGATAATGCTCTATTTCAATTGCCGCCATGTTGCCACGATTTGAATATTCTCATAGTACAAAGCAGCAAATACATCCGAGTAAATAAATAAAGTAATTATAACATTTATCGGTAAGTAACAATGTTTTTTGTTGTTTGTATTTTATTAAATGTATTATAGGGCTTCGTAAATAATAGTCAATCTCTTCACGGGCTTCACAGCACTAAATGTTTGAAAACTCTTGATCCAGGTATGATGGTGTCTCCATCCCGGCTCTGAATAAAAATCCCGACTGACACACAGAAGTAGTTCACATGCAAACAAAACAGTGCTTGTTCGGAAGCCTCCACATTGGTCTCCAGCTTTTCATTTATGGGAGAAAAGGGGTATGCAAATAGCGACAGAAACTGAACTGTGGAAGTGCGAGCCAAGCCAGGGCTGCTGAAACCACGCGTATTTATTTTGTTGACAAGTATGCTAACAAGTATGATTTGGTTTGATACTTGAATCAGTAGGCGTATAATTGAGAATGAGTAAATACGATACGCTGATACAGTAAAAAAACAGGAATTCTGTATGATACAAACCTTACTTAAGGCTTTGTTTGTTCCCTAATTCTATAAGCAATAATTATCGTCTATTATGCTGATTATTGAGTCGAAATAAACTTATACATAGACTACTCAAGGTACTCCTTAAGTATGCGCACCAAGATGTCGCACAACCTGAACCCTAACCTGGTACACAATCAGAGTTCAGGTTGTGCGCCATCTTGGTGCACATACTTCAGGAAGGCCCTACTTAAACATATGCAAATATACTATAAACACGATCTGAACAAGTCAATCCCAGGAAATTTACTAGCTAGGCATTGGTTCTCAAACTGTTTTTGCTCGCGGCGCACTTTGCGACACACTTATAAAAAAATAAAGTTAGCTTTAAACAAATCATTCTGCAAATATTAATGCGATGTGTGTGCCTGTTTTCAGAAACAATTGAAACGAGGTTCTGTCACTCCCTTTTTTGCTTTTATTTCAGTCATAGCAGAAATGCTCACAGAGCCATGGAAATACGAATGGCTAGATTATTTTATGGCACGGATGATTGAGTAGTATTTATGAGTAGATAGACAAAACTCGTCCAAACTTGCTTTCCTGTTAGCTTAAGTAAGCGCCCAAGTTAACATAGAGGAAGGTGGACGTCTTGTTTACAAATACAATATGACATAAAATACAATTATATCGTGACAATCACCCATACTACAACGACACGACAAATGCAGTAATATTACCAGTCTAATTCTAGATACCCAAGCCTCAAAAGCTTGCCCGTTGCATGCGTGCCTATGTGTAATGCGAATAGCTTATTTTTTAAAATTCGAAAAAGCTCCGCGGCACACCTGATAATCTTTTGCGGCACACAATTCGAGAAACGTTGATCTAGAGACTCCCATATTTATACTATCCCGGGTGAAATTTGCATTTCTCATATGCTTTTTCAATCTGGGATTAATAATTTACTCAAATCGACAGAGTTTTATGTCGATGAATTGAGGACAATTAATCGGTGAACGAGACAATAGGCATCAGTTTGAGAAAATTTTGGCCGATGCGCAACAATGGAGCAGACACTAATAATTGATGACCGCGTTGTTCTACCAGATCAAACAAATCGTCAAATATAGATATTACCCGACCATTTTACCCGACTATGATCATATTCAACAAAATATTCGACAGATTGCCGGAATCCGACAGTAGGTTGTAGGTACGGCTGGGCATTCTCGAATAACTTGTGATTTCAGAATCGAATTGAATATTTTTTCGAATCGAATCTCTAATACTCGGAACCAATGTTTCCTCTAATTTTTTGTAGTATGTGTGCGCAGAAATTTTGGTATGTGCGCACTTTTTTGGAAATAACTAATATTTGTGCAAAAACCAATGAAGAAATTTAGGCGTTCTAACCGGGTAATAAGTGGGCCAACAACAGACTTTCTCAATCTGCCAACGGAGCACATTGTTACATTACATCGAAATACGTCTGTGCGCAGTAAATCTATGCGTGTGCGCACCCTCTGAAAGCTGTGAGGGAACACTGCTCGGAACTATATAATTGGAAGCGACTTTTTTATTGTAATTGGTCCTCTCAAATGAATTACTGAAGACATAGAATACATCTCTCAGATAGATTAGAACAAACACGTTTTATCAATAACTCACTACAGAAAATAGTCATGTGTGGGAATTGCGTTGAAACGTTTTATTACCTCGAGTGACAACAATCCAGCCCATTCATGAGCGTATTCCTAACGATTAGCAAGATGCGCCACACCACCGATCATGCCACCGCACCTCTGATTACCTTGCGTGTGTTCGAATCCCATGCGGGAATAAGTATAAGTTTATTTCGACTCCATAATCAAAAAACAAAATAAATAAAACTGATTATAGTGTCGGGAAAGCAAACGAAACCTCAAGCAAAGTTTAAAGTGTTCATATTTTGGGTGGGAAGGTATTGATAAAAGAAGTAGTACCGGTACGTGTTCGCTCACCTAGTTATAGTTATGTGCGAGAGGATTGCTGAACTTCTCGCCGCCACAGGGTGGTTCACGTAAACGCTTGTCGTTTACGGCTTCTTCCACCCTCAAGTACATATCTACAAATCACTGGCTAACAAGTCCAATATCATGGACCGGTACCATGATTGAGCCGCCTTATCGACTTTCCTCTACCCCGTGGTAAATATGTAAATTCAGTTCTATTTGGTGCTTATACTGCTCGCTCTCGCATAAGTTTATTACCTCAAAAGACAACAATCCAGCCATGATACCACCGCCACACTATATGTTCTATTTTTATCATTGATTTAATGAGAGAATATAATTTTTTTACCAAAAACGAGGCACTACAAAATATAAATCATAAAAAACTAAACCTATCCAGCCACCGATTGTAACTCATCTTCAGGAGATTTAGTTTCTGATTTGATGGGGTCTCGTTCCAACATATATTGGAAGATTTCTAAGTATGTAACAGTGTCGTGTGGGACTCTATTCTTTTGCAGAGAAAGCTTTAACAGGCCCGGTGCAGACGACGATAAATTTCCACGCTCTTTTTGCTTTGTTTGATGCTTTATGACGTCAAGAAAGGACTTCATACCGTACTCTCCTATTTGGTTTCGTGATAGATTAAGACAGACGAGTGTAAAACACCCAGGAGCGTAGACTTTTCCATGTTTGTGTGATATTCTGAGGTCCAGGAGTGGGTGAACATGTTCCAGCATATCAGGTGAATCGACATCTAACATGTTTCCACGTTTGCTATCTTTTCCTCCAGATTTTCTGCCTTTCGATTTTGGAGTTTCTACAATTGACATTTTTGATGGTAGCTTTGATGGATCTTTTTTGCCTTTCCCCTCATCTTTTTTCGCTGTTTTGTCACCCCCCTTTCCAGCATCTTTTTTCTTCGATGACCCCCTACTTCCTCGAGTTTTATCAACCTGAGAGCCGCTACGATTGCTCCCAGGACGATCCTTTGAGTCCCCACGTCTTGAACCAGGAGCTGAGCCACCTCTGCCGAATATTCCTCGTTCAGACATCATTTTACGTCTATGGACAACTTCTTCATGAGTTAGCGTAAACCACTGGAGAGAGGCAGAAATCGCTTGCGCACCTGAATCCGAAATTCTATTTGACGCAAGAGATAGAGATGTTAAAACTCGATTCATGCGTAATCCTACAGCTATGCCTTTGGCGCCCTCATCGGAAATGTGGTTGAACGATAAATTTAGGGTCAAGAGCTCAGGACTTGGTAAATTCAGCGATCCAAGAGCTTTTCCAATCTTTTCCGCACCTTTGTCAGTTATTTCGTTGTTTCTTAGGGACAGATGCTGAATAGGAATGTCTTTGGTAATAAGCTCGCTAAACGGTTCTGAATCTGGAATAGCATTCCCTTCAATTGCGATGGTTTTAACATTAGAAAGTGCGGGAAGAAAATTCGTCAATATTTTGAAAGTATGGTCAGTGAGTCCAGAATGCCAAAGATTTAAAGTTGTCAGTTTATCTAACAAACACAATTTTAAAACAGTTATTAATTTCTCTTCAATTTTCCATCCTCGAACATACATCTGTTGAGGGTGGTTTATTTGCAGTTGCTTTGTTTCTTCGACCTCAAATTCACATTGAATGCTCGGTTTAAAAAAGACGTTTCTTTCTACAGCTGTGTATGTGGAAGGTGGCGGCTCCTCTTCATTATCTGCTTCTTCCTCTTCTTGAGGAGATGTTTTTGCATCCTCACCTGTGGACAAAACATTCAAGATGGCGTTATCCAATATTGAATTTTTTTTTAATGTTTAATGCTATCATTTTTGCTGTAAATTCCTTATTTCTGTTAATGAATAAAATTACTCGAGTAAAATCAAAAAATATTACTGTAAATATTAATTGATTCATTCAGATCAGCGGTGTTCAACAGGCGACCCATGGGCGACCCCGGTTCGACAAGCCATTTATTGTGGCCTTTGTCGACACTAAGATTTTCCCTATCAAGCATAAAATCCTAATCCGTCAGTTCATGTCAAGGTGCTCACATTGGTAAAAATTCATAATTATTTTTGCTCTTGTTGCTCAGTTGAATTTCTTATATCATTTTCCCGATGCCTTTATTACTGGAAGCCTAAGCTGTCCTCTTGCCCTTCCCGCCGCTCCAAATAACCCCGAATGACTAGCTACTTGTGGAATTACTGTTACCCTCATATACAGTATGGTGCAACATTAACCAGGGAAGCACTGGAGCATGACTTGGCAGAATATATTCATTTTGCCCAGATAGATCCAATGCTGAAAATAATTTTTTTTACTGTTTAAGATAAGATCAAGTAAGAGTGTAGCCTATATATAGAGTGTATAGTTAAGAGATGACTCGTCAGGAACCATTAATAAATCCATATAATTTTAATAGCACTTCGTGTGTGAGTGATCGACCAGAGCTTCTTTTACTACTGAGTGAGTGCGTGTGATTTAGTCTCAGGCAACTTCACATAATAAAAGGATCTAACATGGCGCGGCGGTGTGGCTCAACGGGCTAAGCGTTAGGAATACGCTCGCCACCGCACCTCTAATTACTCTGCGTGGGTTCGCAGGTTCGAATCTCATGCAGGGATGATTATGTGCGAGAGGATTGCTGGACTCCTCGCCGTCGTTGGGTGGTTCACGTAACCGCTGGTCGGTTACGGCTTCCTCCACCACCAAGTCCATGCTTCCGAAAACAAAACAATATAACTAATCCCATACCCGACTCGGGATGGTAACCGGACGAGAGGCCGTGGTTCGCCATATGAATAAGCCGTCTTATCGGCTTTCCTCTCCCCCGGGATAAATATGTAAATCCGATCCGATCCGAACACCTTCAAACTACAATTTAACATGTAAAACAACACACAATAAACAGTTTTGTAGGCAAATGACACAAATATTGCAAACAATGAATTACCTGGTGGCGAGGGTGGCCTTGGCCTAGCTCTGATAATAGGTGCCATATCTTTCTCTTGGCAAGTTCTCTGCCACAGTTCGGCAAAATCATCAGGAAAATTTCCAGTGCAGTTGTACGGCTCTGGAGTTGATGAGTCTTCTGCTCTGGAATTTGCTGACGCAGGTCCGCCACCTTTGATAGATTTTTCTGTTTTCTTTCCCATTTTGATTTTTATAAATTTATATAGTTATGTGTTATTCTGCGATAGATAAAAGTATATATATGAGATATATAAAAAAAATAAGACCAGGCTTTGCATACCTATCCTGGGTATAGTGATGAAATTCAGTGTAATCAATTAGCAAATAGTGCAGTATCCATCCATAGTGTATGTACTTTGCTCAGAGAACAGTCACATGCAATCTCTCAGCATAAAGGAGATTTTGAGGCAACGTTTTGTTCAGCAACTAAAATTCCTTAAACTATTACTTATGTGGCTGCATTACACATTAATGAGCATTGAATGATATGATTTGACTTGAACCAGTCAACAACAAAAATATAGCACCAAGTTACATTTGATTAAACTCAATTCAATAGGATAGGATTCACATATTGATTCTGGAGGAGAGAAAAGTATATAAGACAGTGTGTGGCATGTGGCAAACCATGGCATCTCGTCCGATTACCTGTCCATGTTTGGTATGAGTTAATCAGACAGGTTTGGTTTGGTATTTGTTTCCATGTACTGCATTGGATGATGGAGGAAGCTTTAACAGACAAGCGTTTACATGAACCACTCACAGTTCATTAAGACAAAATTACTATGATTAGTCATGCATCAATAATTCATACGGGTGGCGGAGTCCGTCATGTGTTTAAGCTATACCCCAGTCTAGATTGCGGAGAATCGGGCGTGCAATCAGAAATTCCCGCGTGCAAATAAGAATTTCTGGCGTGCAATTATAGCTCACGGCGTGCAAAACAACTGCGCCCGGGTGAAACTGACTTCGACCTAAGATACCTCTCGATACATCCGCGTAAAATTACCGGTATTGGATAAAAAATATGTTGAATCATAGCAAAAATGGACGTTTGACCTTTGACCCCCAAACATTATTTCTACAGTTTGTCGCTAATTTTGGGTGTGTTTGTGCGACTTTGGTTACCGGTACTGTTCAGTACATCCGCGTAAAATTATTGGATGAAAAATATGTAAAATCAGAGCAAAATGAACATAATTCGTCATTAATTTGGAAGTGTTTTTATGTAGTATTAATGGATAAAAAAAAAAATCAAATCAGAGCAAAAATGGACGTTTGACCTTTGACCCCAAACATTATTTCTATATTTTGTCATTAATTTTGAGAGTGTTTGTGCGACTTTAGATACCGGTACTGTTCAGTACATTCGTGTGAAATTATTGTATAAAAAATACGCTGAATCAGAGCCATAACTGGCCAGCGTCGGTGAGCAGGCGATCTTTCTCACAGGATTCCTATCATTCAACACGATATGGTGTTTTTTGCTTCGAATTTTTCGATCAGGCCAAATCTTGCAAGCAAGTATTAGTCGACAATTGTGAAGTTATGATTTTTTGGCATCTTTATATTACTAGATTATTGATTTAAAAAATATTTAAATCGATTTACATTGGTGAGCAATTGCAAATTTTTGGCATGCAAAATTGAATTCGCTCGCGTGCACTCTACTTCCAGACCCTAGAACCATTTGACTAAGTTAACTTTACTTCAAAACTTATGAATCAATACTATACCAGTTTTACCGTACTAATATAAGTTTGACTTAGATACCGGTACCGGTACAGTACTGAACCGGGAGGTTATCTGTTCGTCTGTATTTAACACTATGCTCCTGCAATACCAATAAACAGTAAAATCTTACACTTTCAGCAAGAATTACGACTGTATTTTATACATATGTTAAATTTGAACTTTAAACCGAAAATAATACCAATAACCTAATTGATTCCTTGAACTGAATGCAGTGAAACAAAATTCCGATTCCTGGCTTACTGTCGCAGTAGCGTGACCATAGCAACCGTCACGAGTCGAAGCTTCTGGCTAGAGCTATTTTTTAATCGGAACGAGGAGCTTTTCGAGGTGTAAACGTTAACGCACTCAAGGGTAATGATTCGGCTTATTTAATTATTATTCAACATAACTTGTACTTTTTCTGGACTCCTAGTCCTGGTCGGATTTCTTCATTCCCGTGAATCAATCCATCTGAAACGATACCTGACATGTAGCCTATTGGCACCAGTGACCGAACGAAAGGCCGTATGGAGCCGTCGCCTTTTCTTTCACAGGGGAACATGGAATACCTAATTAAACTTTAGCAAGATCATCGTTTCGAATGCTTACCAGTCTTATTTTAAAACTCCGCAGAACCAAATATCAATATCGTCAACACAAGTCGGAACTAAATCAGAAGAGAAAGTCGGTTTTTGAAATGGCAAGGGCAGTTTCAAGTATTTCGTGGCGTCTAGAACTGCCGCAAAACCATGGCGGGATTTCCAAACCATGGCGAGCTGTCGTGGTTACGGCAACAAATCGAATATCCACGGCATGTCGGCTGTAATAGCAGGGCTGCCCCTGATGGTGATAAATATTGGGAAAGTTGCAACGCTCTTCTTATGAATACAGTTTTGATTTATTAGGGGTTAGGTTTAGGTTTAAGTAGATATAATTCCGCATGATAAACTAAAACATTGTATATGCCTCTGTAAACATACCGGTAATAGCGCGATAAAACCATGACAAGAGACACCGCAGTACGTTCGTGGCAGGAGCTGCCATGAAGTGGTAAGAACTGCGCCTGTGAAATGGTTCGGAGCTGATAGAACTTTTCACCAATTACACAGTTTCACATGCTTCGTGTAACATGATTTTCATACTGAATTCTAGAGCTCGCTACAAGAAACTTCCAATCTTCTGTCTTTGAAAGTTTTGTCTGCTTTAATCAGTGATCACACTCAGGGTAAATCAACCCGATAAATAGCTTCAACAATTTCAAATAACCATAAACCAACATCAAGATTGAATCTTAAACACTCACAATCACGCAAAATGTCACTAGTGTAGTCTATTACAATGGAGCATTGTAATAAAACTAGTTTTCAATCTCCGTCTTGCACTTTTACGATATCAAGCACAATGCTTGTGCATGTCGGGTATGGGATTAGGTAGCCAGGCATTTGTTTTAGGAAGCATGCCCTTGATGGTGGAGGAAGCTGTAACCGACCAGCGCTTGCGTGAACCACCTCACGGCGGCAAGGAGTTCAATGATCCTGTAGCACACAATCATTTCCGCATGGGATTCAAAACTGCGAACCAACGCAGGGTAATCAGACGTGCGATGGCGAGCGTATTCCTAACACTTATATAGCGGGATGCGCCACACCGCCGAGCAATGATGGCACATATTATAGATTGCTACCACTCTGCGGCTAAGTTCCGGCTCAAATTTTTATAATCCTAGAACCGTTGTTGTCATAATATCAGCACTACAATTTAATTGAAAGGTGACAAAGGGGTAGTAACACTGACGTTGAATGGTTTGCAGGTTTAAATCCGTAGATATAATTTTGACAAGAGGGGGTTAGCGTTATACTGGTCGATTCCTCAATTTCTTCATTCTAAAGTGTCTCAAGTCGTTTGTTTTAACAAGCCAATATTAGCGTTCCAAAGTTGACTAAAAAAATACAACTTCTCGGGCAGTTGGCGATGGTATTCTTTAAGATTGTATCAGAAAAATTTTAGTTGTTTGAAAATTATTATAATTTAGGATCAAGCCCCATAGAAAAAAAGAAGAAAAACATACGATGGAAAATTAATTTCATGTCACAACATCAAAATAAAATGTGCTTCATCTCGTGTTGAACAAACCTAACCAGATTCTATGTCTTGGCATGATATAATATATAGAGTGTGCATGGAGTCTTGGAAATTTTCGAAATCGCAAAAGAAATTCATCGATGTCATATACGTGTTGGCCCCTACAGATATATATATATATATATATATTTAATGAAATAAAGTTACTTGAACAATTATTGATTAAAAAATAACAAACCTGGTCAAGACATACTGAGAACTGACATAACAAAATTGAGATGGTACCCTGTATATCATTTTCGAAGTGTTATTTTGAGCAAGTGTTTACCATGAACAGAGATTGATTAGTGTTATCTACTCTTTATAAATCTGACATCTTCAAAGAAATATTATTAGATTGTATACACGTTATTTCTCAAGCTACAAGCGCCAGACTGTACCATAAACTGGTATCTTCATAATGAAGTTATAAGTATTTGTTTATATGCGACAGGCGACTGAGAGGGGGTGACGCAATCAATTGTACAATAAATATTTCCTACGTATGCGGTTTCACAAGAGAGGTCACAAGATGGAATCGGAAATTTACATGTAACGGCTCCTGAAACGGTCTCCGCGTTCATAAAAAATATCAGCTTTTTCGTCTAAGCAATAAACCTATGCTTTAATGTATTTTCTGCTTAAACGTTTACAAAAGACACGTAAAATTTCAATCAATTGTTGTTTAACGACTGGCGTAATCTCGAGAACTGACTCAGAAGCCGTACCGCGGGGATTTCGTTTCGATGAATATGTATTTTTCATCTACTAATATACTTCTCATGTATTTTAATTGTACTAAATTAATTATACTTTCTGGGATATTATACCAGATCTTTCTAATGACGATATCGAACTCGCATGAGTGCAATATATATAAAAACTAAATATAATCGGGCAGTTGATCACACTTTATTATGTACACGGATTGGCGTGGTATTTTAGATAGGTAATGAGTTTATTTTGTCGTGAGTCGCCGCAACCGCGAGTTACCTTGGGCACAAATGAATTAAAATAGAGAGACTTTTTATATTATTGTAGTTATGACGAGACAGAAAAATTGATTATAAGACGAAAAAAGCTGATATTTTTTATGAACGCGGAGACCGTTTCAGGAGCCGTTACATGTAAATTTCCGATTCCATCTTGTGACCTCTCGCGCCCCCCCCCCCCCCCCCCCCCCCCCCCCCCCCCAGTTTAAGAACCACTGCTCTAAAGTCTAAACCAGAGGTCGGCAAACTTTTGTCGTTTGTGGGCCAAAATTCAAGGTTGCAAGTCATTGACGGGTAGCACGTATTTAAGAAAGTTAAAAACCAAAGGAAAGGCCAATGAATCACATTTTTTCACCCAGAAATTTCA